GTCATCGTCGTCGTCATCGCAATCGTCGTCGTCTTCGTCGTCCTCGTCGTCGTCCTCGTCGTCATGGTCCTCCTCCTCGTCCTCCTTCTCCTCCCGGAACATGGAACCTGATGGCGTGAGGAGTCGTCGACTGCCGCCGCCCCTCAGCCACCTCCTCCTCCTCCTCCTCCCTCCTCCTCCTTCTCTTCCCTCTCCTCCTCCTCCTCCTCCTCATCATCATCATCCTCCTCCTCCTCTTCCTCTCCTCCTCCTCATCTTCCTCCTCCTCCTCTTCCTCTCCTCCTCCTCATCTTCCTCCACCTCCTTCTCCTCCTCCTCTCCCTCCTCTTCCTCCTCCTCCCTCCCAGCCAGAGGGAAAGCCGGCCCCGAGCTTCGGGAGATCAGATCGAGCCCAGACCCTGAGATCCTCGCAAACAAGACACCTGTTTTTTCTGTCTGCGATGGCCCAGACTCTCTGGGGGGGGTGGAGGGAGGCGCCGGCCGAGGCCCTAATCCTCTCCCTTGGGGCAGGATCCACGTACGCCCGCGCGCACCAGCACTGCGTACCCCCACGCGGACCTGCGCAACCGACGAGGACAAGTTTTTACCTGGGGAGGAAGGGGGGGCGGGCGGGCTGGATAACCCGTGTTATCGCCGGACCCTTACACAACAGATTCTCCAAGCAAGGAAGATGCCATACATCTGGAGGTGCATAAGACACGGATGTGGAAAGCTGTTCGGCCATGTTGAGCCTTCAGGGACCGTACCAGACCCCGGGACCGCCAAAAAACAGTTCGGGATGAAAAGCTTGTCCCTGGAAAGGGTCCAGACCTCTTGGGGCTCACGTTGCGGAAAAACGCGACCTCGGATGTGCAGGCGATCGGTCTCGGCATTGACCTTCGGGGGATCGCACCGAACTCAAATCCCCGATACCCTCCTCCTCCTCCTCCTCCTCCTCCTCCTCCTCCTCCTCCTCCTCCTCCTCCTCCTCCTCCTCCTCCAGGCCCCCCTGGCCTCCGCCGCGCAGGGCGGCAAGAATGCGGTGCAGACCCGGCCCCGCAAGAGCCCCCAAAGATCCTCGGAGATATCATGGGGGGCTGGAAAGGCCCTGAGATCCGACATTGCGAGAAACATGCATCGTAAACACAAAAGTGCGCGACCAGAGCCTCACTGTAGGTTCGTGTGGCGTCGGCGCACGCGAAGGCTTTTGACGCCGTCTCGATCGTGCAACCTTGAACCAATCGCGGCCCTGGTCGTTCAAGGATGAATCCTGTCGGGTCCTGTGGCGTTACCATGTCCCTCGGTGCTTCCGCGTCGCTCCATCGTGCGGAATTCAACCGTGAACGCCTTCCCCGGCGTCGCCGGCGCGCCAGCGCCACATGAACCTACCGTATGACCCGTCTGCATGCTGCATTTTTCGGGGGCGTGCAAACATGGACTAGCGATCCATGGATTTGGCGCGCGGTAGCCAAATCCATGGATCGGGGGAAGTGCCCTCCCCGAAAATGCGGCCGGTGCCGGCTCGCTCGGCGGCGGAAGTCTGCGAATTCCCACGGAAGCGGGACCCGCCGCCAATCCAGCGCCCCCTTGATTAATGTTTGCGATAACCTGAGATTCTCCTCAGCATTTCTCTTCCTAAACTTAAATCGGGCATGTCCCCCTACAGGGGAATTTTGCACGACAAATAAGACATACCCCCAAAAAAGTATTCAACAACAGCAACGCGTAGTCTAATAACATCCTCCCCAGATAATGTTTGGACTGTCTTTGATGATTCCTCCTGTGGAGGGACGCGCCCGACTTAACCACAACATGTTTGCGATCGCCTGGATGTTCGAGCCGCACCGATCCGTGATGGTCCCGGGGCACGAAGCCAGGCGAGCGCGCTGAGGGCAGGAGAGTCCCGAATCGAATCGGCAGGTCGGCTCGGCGATCGAAGACATCGGATGGGAGGAAAATCGGCAGCCGAGTCGGGAGCCGAGTCAAATCGGCGGAAATCGGCAGGCCAGTAACCTCAAGAGGTCTTTAGTTATCGTCCCCCCCCCCCGCTCCTCCTCATAGACGTAGTTGCATCCTCATATCGGCGGACAATAAGCCCTCCTCTCTTCCTCCTCCTCCTCTTCCGCCTCCTCCTCATAGACGTGGTCGCATCGTAGTCGTAGCCGTAATCGCATCGTAGTCGTAATCGCAACCGTAGTCTAATCGTGGTCGTAGTCGTAGCCGTGATCGTATAGTGGTCGTAGTCGCACTCGAAGTCGTAATCGTAGTCGTAGTCGTGTCGCAGTCGTAGTCGCAGACGTAATTGTAGCCCTGGTCGTCGTGATTGTTGTGCGGCGGGTGGCGCGGAGAAATGACTCTTTCCCACAGTTGGTGGGACCCCAGTCCGTCAAAAGCGGCGCCGAAGAGATAACTTGGTGTCATGGATTGCGCGGGGATTCTCAAGAGACCCATCGCCGTTAGCCCTCCACTGAGGAATCGGAATCCAAGTTGGAATCCCAAGACGTCCTCCTCCTCCTCCTCTTCCTCCTCCTCCTCCTCCTCCTCCTCCTCCTGGAATCGGAATCGGAATCGGAAGACATCGGAATCGAGCCGGAATCGGAGGGGCCGACGGGGGCGGAGTCGTCGGGCCTGCGCCGCGCCAGGCTGCGACGGCGGGCGCGGCCGCCGCGCAGGCCTGGAGGGAAAGAAGGCTGCACAGACGTACGATAGAGGGAAACAATTACTGAACAATCCCCCTCCCCCCAGACTCAATGTTGGCACGCGCGGGGGAGACTGCGGTCGAAGTGCATCTCATCAGACCCACCGCCAACTTTGAACATTGGGGGGAGGGGGAGGCGTTGACGGATGAATGTGGCATGTGTTCGCTAATTTGTTCCGAGGCCTGTACGGCGGTCGGGGAACAGACAGCGACCTACAGTGGGGGGATGGGCAGAAGCCCCTTTCGTAAAACGTGGTGTGGTGCAAACGACCTCGGGCCCAAGCCTGGCGGGCGCAGGCCCGGACAAGAACGGCTGCGGAGCCCTCTCGAGAACCGAGAACGGACAATTCACTAACCGACGTGTCGGGGTGGGGGTTCTGTCCACCCCCGATACAAGCGCAACTGGCAAAAAGATGCGCGGTAAGGATGCAGGCCCCTTGGACGCCCCGGTCGAAGCTTTGTCGAGCGGAGCTGGCCATCGGGAGTGAGTAGAGATGGGCCGAAGCGGATGTGCCCCTGGAAAGGCGGCCCATCCGGATGAGCTTCGACTGCAAGGGAGTCCAGCGCCGATCCGAGAAATCCGCGCCGACCTCCAAGCTTGTATGTTTATGCCATTGCTTGCTCCCCAACATGAAGGCATTGGATAAGGAACCAATGGATGAAGAATCCAGGGCCTGGAAGCCGCTAGAACTGCAATCGTGAATTGACCATGGATATCACAACCGCCATCATTAGACGCGAAATCCGCCAGGGTCTAAAGCCTCCCAGGCACATTCCTTAACGAAGACCCCCACCGCAAACGTTCGGAGATCCGCGCGGATTTCTTGGACCGGCGCTGGACCCCCCTCGACTGGTGCGTTCCGCACGGAGCTCAGAAAGCGAATGATTATGCCGTTCGGGCTCCTACTGACCCAGGTCAATGCAAACCCAGGTCAGTCAGGCTTTGCAAAATCCTGCAGGATCCTGCGCACTACTCCTGCGCGCTGACCAGGGTCAATACAACCCTGACTTTGCACGATCCTACAAAATCCGGCGCGTTGGCTGACCCCCGTTTGCATTGCCTCCCGTTTTTACCAGCTCGAGCCGTTATTAATTTTTCCTCGGGGGCAACCAACAGGAACTGATACCGCTGCTCCCCAGGCCTCTCCTTGGGTGCGTTGGCGAACCCAGCGGTGGCGACGAGGACCTCCCAGGAGGTCCAACAGAGGCGAGAACGAGGGAAGGGCAGCGGCATCGGCATCTTTGGGCTACCCCCCAAAGAGGAAGACGAGCGGCTCGAGCTGGAAGAGACGGGGGGCAATGCACACGGGGGCCAACCAACAGCGCCGGACCCCGCATGCTCCTGCAAAGCGGGCCCGGGCCCGCGCGGCGGGCGCGCGGACAGTCGAGCGCGGGCCCCTCGTCTCTCGAGCTCGTCTCGCGCTCTCTGCGGGCGGAGTCGCAGCGCAGGAGCAGCGCGCAGGACCCTGCGGGTCGGCTGCACGCAAGAGTTCGGCGGCGCGCACAAAGGGGGTGGCGGGAGGGGGGAGGGCTTCTCTTAGAAGGAGGCTGCTTCTTAGAAGGCGCCAGCCTTACATCTATAGACAAGGCCCGCGCCTTCTAGGAAGCAGGGGTGCTTCTAAGACGCCCTCCCCCCTCCCCCCCACACCCCCCTCTGCGCGGGGCTGAAGAGCGACCCTGGGCAAGAGCGAGACCGTGGGTGCGCGGGCGCAGGGGGCGCAAGGTGGCCAAATCCAGGCGCGCAGGCAGCCGCGAGAGCATCGCGCTCCGCGATCGGGGGGGAGCCCGACGAGCCCGCACCCAAAGGTCCCTCCAGCAGAGGGTCGCTCCCACGTGCAGTCGAGCCCGATCCTCCTCCGCATTTCTCTCCCTAGACTTAGGCCGGGCATGCCCCCCTACAGGGGAATCTTGAACGACAAATAAAACAAATACCCAACACATATTCAAACATTGGCAAACATAGTCAACAGAAATCGTCCGCAGACTATTGTTTGGACTATCTTTGAACATTCCTCCTGTAGAGGGACGCGCCAGAGCTAACCCTGGACGTCCCAGAAGGTAATCTAGAAGTTCAGCTCAGTGAACTGGCGAGTTGACAGGCTCTCTGGAAAACCGAAGCCCAGGAGGGGGGACCCAGACACCCCCGACGCCAAGAGGCTCGACACTCCTCCTGCAGAGGGACGCGCCCGACTTCACCCTGGACGGCCTGGGCACCGCACGGCGGCGCCCCGCGGCGGCCCGCGCCCGCCGCCAGCGGCGCGCTGGCCAGCGCCGCCATGCCGCGCGGCCGCGCGCCAGCGGCGCGCTGGCCGCGCGCCGCTGCCGCGGGGCCCCCGCGCCGAGGGCGCTGCCGCGGGGCCCGCCGGCGCCGCGGGCTCTCTCCGGGCTCGCGCGGGGCCTCGCTGGCCACAGCGGGCCTCGGCCAAGAGCGGGGCCGGAGGCGGGGGGCCCTCCCCGGGGCCCAGAGGGGTCCTCGTCGGGGCGTCTGGCCTGTGCTGCCGAGGGAGGAAGGTGGAGGAGGGGGAGGAGGGGGAGGAGGAGGAGGAGGAGGAGGGAGGAGGAGGAGGAGGAGGAGGAGGAGGAGGAGGAGGCGGAGGAGGAGGAGGAGGAGGCGGAGAGGCGAGGAGGCGGGGAAGGACGCGGGAGGCCGCAAAAGGACAGCGAGGAGGCCTCGAGGCGGGCGCGAGGCGATGCGACGAGGCCTCGAGGCGGAGGCCGCGATGCGAGCGATGCCTCGACGAGGGCGCGGCCCGCACCGCGGGCGCCCTCTGCGGCACCCGCGCGCGCGCGCCGCGGCCCACACGCTGCCTGTTCGGGGAGCGCCGCGGTCCGCGCACCCGTCCCCGCGCCGTGCGCGCAGGCGTCGGGGACGCGCTGGCCCCGGCCAGTGCAGACCCGGGCCAGCCAGGTCAGTGCAGGATCCGGCGCGCTGCTCCCGCGGGTCAGTGCAGTGGCGGCGCGCAGAAGGGGGTAGGGGGAGGGGGGAAGGCTTCGTAGAAGGAGGCTGCTTCTTAGAAGGCGCTGGCCTTACATCTACAAAGAAGGCCCGCGCCTTCTAAGAAGCAGGGGTGCTTCTAAGAAGCCTTCCCCCCTCCCCCTACCCCCTTCTGCGCGTGGCCAGGTGCACCCCTGGGCTCCGCAGGGTCCTGCAAGGATCCGGCGCTCTGGCTGGCCCCCGCCTGCACTGGCACCCGCCTCCCGAGCCCCGAACGCGCGGGCGGGCCTGCGCGCCGGGCCATTCAGGTGTGCAGCGCCCACGCGTCGTGGATGAGCCAGCCTCCGGGGTGCGCGCGGGGCGAGGCCACTGCATGCGCGACCAGAGGCCCGCCAGACCCAGGGGGCTCGCGGGGCGAAGCCACTGCATGCGCGACCAGAGGCCCGCCAGACCCAGACACGCCGGCGTCACGACAAAATCACGACGGCGGGCAAGTTTTGGTCGCCTTCGGCCTCCTGGGCCCTTGTATAAACCGGGCCCTGGGACCGTCAGAAAACGACTCCGATTGAAGAGCCGGTGCTGGGGGAAGGAGTCAAGACCTCTGGGGCTCCATGTCGTGTATAAAGACCATGACGTTGGAGACCAGGCGGATGGAGCCGGTGCTTGGGGGAAGGAGTCAAGACCTCGGGGGCTTCATGTCGTGTATAAAAACCATGGCGTCGGAGACCAGGCGGATGGACCCCCCTTTTTGCTCCGACTGGGCCTGCCCCAGCTGGCCCCGGCGATCGACCGAAGGAGGAGGCCAACGTCAAGCCAAAGGCCCGCCAAATTTTGAGCAGGGACCGACCGTCCCGGCATTATTATACTCCTACCACGACAGGTTCTTAGAGTCCAAAAATGTTCTAAGAGCAAAAACAATGTTCTTAGAACAAAAGGCCGATGTCTTAAAAACAAGGCAGTCTCACCCAAACATGTTCTAAGAACTTGTTTGGGAAACCACTAAAAAGATTCTTAGAACATTGTTTGGTAGGCCTGCAGGCGAGCCAAGACGCTGCGCCACTGCTTGAACATTGCCCCCGCTGGACTTGGTGGCGTGGCCCAGGGAGGAGGCAAAATCCGGCCGGAGGCCCGCCAGAGAGAGAGCGGAAGAGGAGGGCCAGAGCAACCCCACGGTGCACCAGCGATGCTACAGTAGCACGGCCCCTCTTCCTATCCCATACGTCCGACGCCCTGTGTCTTTGGTTCGCAGCGTGGCTCCCTAGAGGTCTGGCCCTTCGATGATGTAGAACATCCTCGGGCGCTGACTCACCTGTACGACCACCTCTCGAGTGATGAGGAGTTTTTTTTGGGGGAGAAAGCAACATCTCACTCACTCGACATCACTATGGGTCTCACAATCGATCTCAATATCGATATCACTGTCGACGATCGATATCGATATCGATCTTACTGTCGATATCACTATCTGCTTCACTGTCGATCTCACGACCGATCTAACGATCGATCTCACTATCTCCACATCGATTTCACTATATCACTATCGATCTCACAATCGATCTCACTATCGGTCACACAATCGATCTCACTACCGACCTCACTATCGATCTCACTCAATCGATCTCACTGTCGGTCTCACTATGGATCCCCACTATCGATCTCCGTGTCGATCAAACTATCGGTCTCACTATCCCTCTCAATATCGATGTCACTATCGATCTCCCGATCGATCTCATTGTCGATCGCACAATCGATCTCACTATCGACCACACTGTCGATCTCACAATCGATCTCACGATCGATCTCACTATGGATCTCACAATCGATCTCACTATCGATCTCCCTATCGATCGCACTATCTCACTATCAATATCACTATCGATCTCACTATCCCTCGCACTATCCCTCGCACTATCGATCTCACTATCGATCTCACTACGGAACACCGACGGGACATCAGGGACACCACAGGACAACATCGGACAACTAAAGCGAGACACCCCAGGCCACCGCCGGCCAACGGGGGTGGGGAGAGCGCGCGTCTTTCGGCCCAGCGGCGCCCTAGCCAAAGGAGGGTTCATTCTTTTCGCCCGCACACGCAGCTTCGCCCCGCCCACACGCACGACACGAACACGAAACCGAAACAGGTTTCCCTGTCGGGGGCTCTCCGTTCCACTGCAATCTCACCCCCTCACAGCCGACTTTGTTCAAAATCTATGTGTTCCTGCTCGGTTTGGCATGCATTTCCCCGTTTGGGGATTCTCGTTCGCGCCGCTTTCGCTTCGGTTGTGTAGTACTGCCGTTGTGTTCCTCTGTTTGGGGTTGCCGTTGTGTTTCGGTTCTGGTCCGCCGAAAACCGAAAAGTTGGAGGCAGCGGGGAAACACACAAAACAAACATAGTCGTTTCAGATCAACGGAGGCCTGGACCCCTTCCCAGGAACCAGCTTTCCATCCCGAGCTCCTGTGGTTCGACGGCCCCGGGCCCCGTCAAATATAATAAGAAACAACGGCATAAGCATAAACTTTTGGCGCTCCGCGCGGATTTCTTGGATCTGCGCTGGTCCCCCTCCCTGGCGCGCGGAGCGCGCCACGGGCGGCGCCGGAGGCGCCGCCGGGGGAGCCCAGCGGGGGAGCCAGCGGGGTAATAAGGAGGGAAACTCGCAACAGCCCCGAAAGCCTGGCCTCTTCCTCCTCCTCCTCCTCCTCCTCCTCCTCCTCCTCCTCCTCCTCCTCCTCCCCCTCCTCCTCCCCCTCCTCCTCCTCCTCCTCCTCCTCCTCGGGTCGCCCACGGCCCCGGGGGGGAAGCCGTGCAGGCGAGCGAGGGCCGCAGGCCTGCTGCCCCCGGCCAGGGGCGGGGCCCGCCGGGGGGGGGGGGGGGCGCAGCCGGCGGCCCGCCTGCGGCCCAGGACGCGAGCTGGCCCAGGAGCTCCCCGGGCCAGTCCCTCGCGGCTCGGGGGGGGGCGGCGGCGAGCCCGAGCGGAGGAGTGCATGGGAGAGGAGGAGGGCCTCCTCGTGTCCTCCTTGGACGCATGCGTTCGACCCGGACATCTATAGCACAGCCATCCTGTAGTAGATCGCGGCTCGGGGGGGAGGGTCCCTCGCGGCCAGTTCCCTCGCGGCCAGTCCCTCGCAACCATCAATTCCCCTGAATCCACAACCAAGCCCTACCCACGACGCCCATCCAGTTGCCTGAATCGTTGATCGGCGAGGGTAGCTAGGGTTCTTCGCAACCGAAGGGAGCCCTGGAATCCCCGATCTCCGACAGGGTGATTTATCCGATCCGGATTCTCTCAGAGAAGCAAGGAGGAACCGATACCGTTACCCGTCCCCTCGCTGTTGCCTTTTGGGAACCTTTCTGGAGGCCCTCGTCGCCACGGTTGGATTCGCCTCAATATTCTTGTCAGAACGCACCCTGGGAGAGGCCCAGGGAGTAGCGGTATCGGAGTCTTTCAGTTCCCCCATTCTCGAAATTTCTCGACCGTCCCCAAATCCCCGACGATGTATGATATGTTGACTCCAGCCTTCTCCTTCGCACTCCTGGAGCCCTTGCTCGATAAGAGAGGCCCCCCAAAATCGAATCGATAGAAATCGGATCGCCGATCGAACCAATCGTCGGATCGGCGGAGACCGGTGGCCAAAAGACCGTTATTTTTTGAATCGGCGATAACCCGGGTTATCCGGGAGGGGGGGGGGGAGGGGGCCGGCCGATAACCTGACCTTCGCGCTGTGGGCAGCCCTGCATGTGCCCGCGCCCCCCCCCCACACCCCGGACCTGCACGACCTGCAAGGCTAGGCTATCCTTAGGGGGGGAGGGGGGTGGGGGGGCGAGCCCGATGAACCGGGTTACCGCCGGACCCTGCACAAAAACGGTCTCCAGGTCCGGCGGCGACGAGTCGGCGGAGGAGGAAGAGGAAGAGGAGGAGGAGGAGGAGAGGAGGAGGAGGAGGAGGAGGAGGAGGAGGAGGAGGAGCCGCCCCGAGCCCCGCATGGGGCGGGGCGGCGGCTCCCCGCGAGGCCGGGGCCGCGGCGGGCGAGGCCTCGCGAGGCAGGGCGCGCGGGCGCCCCGCCCCGCGCGGAGGCCCCGGCCCCCGAGAGAGGCCTCGCGGTCCGCCCCGCCGCGTCTCGGCGCGCGGCCGAGGCTGCCGTGTCGGCCGCGCGCAGGGAGGTGTGGCCCTGGGCAAGAGCTGCGAGGCGGGGAGTCTATCCACATCCACCGCCCGGGAGCCGACGTCCATGGTGCCCCGGTGGGCGGCGGGTGTGGATGTTGTTGTTTGGCCCCCGGGGGCCCGAACGTATCCATATCCACCGCCTGCCGGGGTCCCCGAGGCCCCGGCCCCCGAGGCCTCGCGGTCCGCCCCGCCGCGTCTCGCGGCGCGGCCGAGGCTGCCGTGTCGGCTGCGTTCATGGCCTCTGGTGCGCGGCTTCACGGGGGAGGCAGGGGCATGCGAGGCCAATTTTGATACACCACCAGC